AGTGACCCAGGTCTAAGTCAATCAGAGCATCATAATCTCCTCAGTCCCTGTGATTGGTGGAGGGCTGAGCGTGTGGCCCAATCGCTACCAGTGAGATGCTGTGAGCCTTTCGCTGGGACTTCAGAGAAAGAAACTGTCGCTGCTTCACATCGCACCTGAGCTGGCTCCGCACTACCCTCCCATTAGCCTATCAAAGGATTTGAGGACTTGAAGGAACACTCGTCGGAACAAGGAATCATCAGCTTAGAGAGGAGTGTTGCCAGGGAGGGCCCGAGCCAAGGGATGGGGTCTAGGATAGAACACCCATAGAGTTTGGGGGCGGCTGGCTGAGTCTGGCATTTCATTCTCCATTTCGTTCACCTGTGGATACAGCAGAATTGCTCATTTGCCCTCCCTGCCTATTTGAGCAGAGGAAAAGTAACTGGAGAGAGATGTCAGGGCAGAGGGGGCAGCCACTGTTGGTGTGGCCAAGGTGTGTGTCTCCCCTGGGTCACATGGACACTGCAGGAGGCATGGAGGCTCAGAGTGAGCCATCTTGCCAGTAACCTGCTCCAGGGGGCTGACTGCCCAGGAGATCCCAACGCCCAGAAGCCGTGAGCCCTCTGGATAAGTCCTGCAGGGCCCTGTGCCAGCGTCATGGGAGGTGCTGAGAGAAGCCTCCGTTGTGTAGGAATGGGACTTCTGTTAGATGGCCCCAACCCTGGGGGGAGAAGGGGGCCCAGGAGGGACAGGGAAAGGCTAGGAAGGATTAAAAACAGACCACAGGCTGTCCCCGGGGCAGCTTCCTCAGGCCACAGGTCAGCGTGAGCTAAGGACATGGAAGGACATTAAATTGGATCAGAGACTGAAATTTTAAACTGGACCAGACTAGTCTGGACTTTTGCATGCCGAAAAGTGACCAGAAATCTTTGAGATCTATTGGAGCCATCATCAAAGAAAGGGAAAAGGAGATCATCAGAGCACAGTAAAAAAATGATAATTGGAGAAAACACAAAAAGTTTCCATGTTTGTACCTCACGTAGTTCAGATTGTTCAACACACTGGTTCCACAGCTGTCTTGAGACCACTAAGGGAGATCCTGTCTGAGAATGGGGTATGCCTAGAGTGAATAGAGCTGAAAGATGGGGAGAGAGAGAACACCGGGTTCCAGTGACAGAGTTTGAGCCCCTGCATCAGGCCACACCCGAGACAAATCTCCTCTCTGGAGTTTTCTGTTATGTGGGTCAATAAACTCCCTGAGCTAATATGGATTAAGTTTTCTATCACTATCAACAGAAAAAAAATCCTGGATTGATACAGTGTACATATACACTCTTGTTCTTGGGGAGAGGGACATAGCTTCTGTCGGACTCTCATAGAACATTGCTATAAAAGGATATAACTCAGAGGAAAGAAACCCTGAAGCTCGAATCCAGCGATCCCATTGACAGATACAAGAGAAATCATCGGATGAGATGTGTGGGGTTCTACAGAGGTATCATGGAAGAGCTAGGTCCTTGGGGTAGGGTCTGGGGCCTGAGTCTGGCATTAACTGGCACTCAAGAAATATTTGTTGAATGGAAAGCAACAGGAAAATTATAACAAGTGCTACATTACATGCAAATTTTCAGGAGAATATCGAATGTGTGAACATCTAATCTGCATTTCCATGTCCTGACAGATGGCCCATGTTAACAGAACTCTGACTATAGGAAGGAAGGAAGGAAGGAAGGAAGGAAGGAAGGAAGGAAGGAAGGAAGGAAGGAAGGAAGGAAAGAAGGAAGGAAGGAAGGAAGGAAGAAAGAACCTACAAATATTCATTGAGTGGGTACCATTTGTTACACTTACACAACTATTAACACAGCTGCGACTGCCAAATCAATTTTTTAAAAACGATAACTCCCATGTATTCCTATTTCTCAGAGACAGTCCCAGTTTGTCTCAGAGAAAGAAAATGACCGGGTGGGGGCAGGGAGCTTCCATTGCTGGGGCAGAGCATTGGACCCTGTTTCTTCTTAGAAGAGGGGTTTGGACCCTGAGAGTCTAGGGCTGACTTCTTAAAGTGGAACCAGGGACCACCTGTATCAAAATCACCTGCTATGTTTATCTAAAACGCAGGCTCCTAGGCCCTGGCCCAGACTTACGGAATAAGAATCTTTGAGGAAAGGGCCCTGGCTTCTGCATTTTTAAACAATCTTCCCAGATAGTTTTTATGCACATGACAGTTTGAAAAACTTTACCTACCAAAATCTGGTTTTTTCCCCATAGGGTCTCAGTGCCTTGTAATATTCTGCACAGCCCCATGGAAGGTGGTTCTCTGGGGGAAAGAAGCCCCATCTTGGGCTGGGGGGATTGGAAGGAGGCTGGACCACACATTCTAGACTTGATTACTTGATGCCTTCTGTTGGCCTGGAGGGTTTCATTTGGAAGGGAGGTATTTTTTTCCCATTTTTTTTTTTCAGTTGGTGATTAAATTCCATGAAGGTAAGGATCATGACTTCTACCTCTTAGAGCTGCTGCTCCCTCTTCAATACACTGCCCTATCTCCCACACTGTTGACCACTCTCTAGATGCTTAAAAGTCTTTAGTTTGACCTGTGTTCTGGTTTGTTTGAGACCAAGAGGCAAATTCTCACTATTGCCTTTGCTGCCTTCCTGGGATAGCAACCAGAACTTCCTCTGGCAGGTGTCTCCCGAGTTCTCTGTCATATGACATGGGTGTGACTGACTCTAGGGGTGGGATTGACTGCCTGAAGCCCTTCCATGCCCCCATTCCCATGGCCATGATAGTTGGTTCAAGAATGGACAGTGACCTAAGCATCCTGGCCAGAGTTCACCTGATTGTTATTGAGAATTTGGGGCCACAGATTCTTTTTGCCCTTGGTAATGAGCAGGGAAGCCTGTAGTCCTATACATTCTTGGCAGGCTGCCTGGGCTTTGAGAAGAAAGCACAATGAGAATGGGGCCAGTATGAAGTAGGCACAACCAAGAACTGGGGAGAAACTGGGACCTGAGCACATATTTGAGGCCCAGAAAGACTTGCCTGAAGCCACATCTATTCCTAGGCTGCTCAGTGATCTGTACTATTAAGTCCCTCCTCCCCACCCGTTTTTTTTTTTTTTTTTTTTTTTTTTTTTTTTTTTTTTTTTTTTTTTTTTTTTTTTTTGGTGCTTAAATCAGTTTGGGTTGGGGTTTTGTTATGTGCCGCTAAATGCATCCTAACCGGTATGCCCTTCAGCTCCTCTTATTTCTCTTTCTGTAACATACCCCAGACATCTTGGGTCCCTTCTCAAACAAACAGAAGGACAGACAGAAAGACAGACAGAAAAATACCACAAGTACCCATGAAACAGAATAGGATGGATGGTAGGAATAGGTGGTAGGGTTATTTGGATGCATGGCTTGTTGAGACTCCGTGCCCAAAGAATATTGATTAATGGATCAATTTCAACCTGGAGGGAAGCCCTGTCCTGTTCAACATTTTAATCAATGACTTGGATGGAATAGGAGGCAGGCTTAGCAAGTCTCAGATGACACAGAGCTGGAAGAATTGCTAATATGACAGATGGCAGAATCAAGATTCAAAATTATTTTGACTGAGTTGAGCAATAATAAGGATAAATATAAACTCTTGCATCTAGGCTCAAAAAAATCAATTGTGTAAGCAGTGGACTGGGGAGACCTGGCTTGGCAGATGTCATAAGAATGTGGAACTTTACGTTGACCATAAGCTCATGATGAGCCAAAAAGTTGAGGCAATTAGTAACACAGTTAATGAAGTTTTCAAATATTTGAAATATCAAAATATTGGAGAACTGCATTGGTGAAGAAAGGCTAACCTTGCCTCTACTTCCCTGGTGGGTTAAAGAAGTGGAATTTACTGGAAAGCAATTTTCAGCTCAGTATATATATTTTAAAAAGCTTCTGATGATTCTAATAACAGAACAGGCTACCTCCCCAAATTGTGAATGTGATAATTATATCAGCATGTAATAGAAGTCTATTATGGTGGTCTTCAATCTATCTATCTATCTATCTATCTATCTATTTATTTAGAGTGAGGGGAGGGGCAGAGAGAGAAGGAGAGGAATCCCAAGTAGGCTCCCCACTGATGTGGGGCTCAGACCCATGAACTGTGAGATCATGACCTGTGCCAAAATCAAGAGTTGGATGCGTAACCGACTGAGCCACCCAGGTGCCCCTGGTCTTCCTTTTAAAAGCACAGATTTAAAAAATGATTTTAACAACTTGTAAGTCAAAGCAATACACACAAAAGCATCCAGAAAACAATGCGGCGATAAAGTAGCCTAGCTCAGCACTCTTGAAAGTTTGTTTCAGATTCACCAAAGAGGAGCCTCATCTAGAAGGAATATCCAGAATCTGGACTTGGCGCTGACCATCCCCATTTCGCCTCATTCCATTTATGGCCCTCCTGCTTGGTGCTTACTGAGCTTTATTCTGTTTATCCTATGTTCTCCATTTCTTCTAGTTTATCCCTTTTCCTGTCTGAGACTTGTTCAGAGTTGATCTATTAGTTATAGTAGGAACTTACACTCCTCCTTTTTTCCTTGCCTCTTGCTTTTTTTGATCTCATCGAAAGAAAGTAGATTCTTTTGTAGTTTTCCTGAGCTAGGTTTGTTTCATGGATAGTCTTAGATAGTGAAGATATTACAGATAATATCGCTTCCTCCCTCTCTCCTCCTCCTTCCTTCTCCTTCCTTTCCTCCTATTTTCTTCCTTGTTCTTCCTTCTTCCTTCTCCCTCCTCTCCTCTTCCTCCCTCCCTCCCTCTCTCTCCCTCCTGGCCTCCCTCTCTCCTCCCACCCTTCCCCTTCTTTTTATTTTTCTGTTGTTCTGAACACTTCATTTTACTTGCTAACCCAGAGAGGCAGAGAAGGTGGGCCCTGTTTCATCTCATACACTTAGCACGTGATTTTCGCCAGGAAGTTATCAAAAGTAAGTTTCACTTCTACGAACACAAAATCACGTTTCCTGTGGATTTCACAAGGACGACTGTACTCACGAATTGCTCATTAAAGCTGTCCACCTCTGTCAGAAGCTTCTCTTGGCAGTCAGGGTTGGTGGCCAGGAGGTAGGTGGCAAAAGAGAGCGTGTTGGTGACGATCTCGTAGCCAGCAATGAGGAAGATGAAGGCCTGGCCCACGACCTCATCCACAGTCAGAGGCTTGGACAGGCGTCTGGGCTGGTGCAGGTGGGAGGGACCCGCTGCGCAGTCGGTGGAGAAGACTTGTCTGACCATGTCAAAGCTCTCCACGCCCACGGAGGTGGAGGAATGTCGGGCGTCCAGGATCAGTTGGAGGAAATCTTTCCGCCTCTAAGGGACAAAAGGAGAAAATGCCCATTTTAGTCTTAGAGTCATGTGACGGAGGCACAGAAGAAGACACACACCTGAGCTTGATGGGAACCAGTACCCTCGTTGTGGGGTTATCTGAGATGGCGAGAACCTGGAACCCCCAGTGTCCCTTACATGGCATTGGTTCTTAGCAAACAGCAGACTGTGATGCTGCCGTTGAAAAAGGATGAGGCCGTTCATCTGGACTGATTGGGAAGGGTGTTAAGCCATTTTGGTAAGGAAAAAACAGCAAGTTGCAGAACAGCCTGCACAGTGGAACCTCATTTCTGTAAAAACAGTACATGTACAATATATATAATTACGCGCATTTGTTCACGCATAGAAAATGTTCAGCAGCATCTATACCCAGCAGTTCACAGTGAACTTGGAGGAGGCGGGGAAACCAGCGCGGGGGGGGGGGGGGGGGGGGGGCTTTGAGTTTTTACGTTATGCATGTTTGTACTGTCGGTTGGTTGGTTGGTTTTCCAACAATAAAACAATGAAAACATCATATAGATTTAAACGAAAGTACGCGTTCCCTTGTGCACTTAGGCACCATTCAGGGCTAATGGATGGGTGGCCATACATTTTCCTCACACAGTAGGAAGTTGGCAGAACTGGGGGGCGGGAGGGAACTAGCCTTGGGGAAGCTTGTCTTCAAAGACCTCCCCCATTCCCTTTGTCCCCAGTGATCCCTTAACCCATTTAAGTGCTTAGAGCTTTCTTACCATTTCCCCCTACCTCCCTTATCAGCAATTTGCATATTCTTTATATTTTTACTGCCACTAATTGTAACCATAGAAGCTTTTGCATATTGCTTTCACATTGACAAAGTGTATCCCTGGCATACCCCTTCTTTGAAAAGCTCTTTAATGTGATGGGTGACAACCAATATGTTACTCTTTTCTGAAGTTTATGGGGCTCAAACAGCAAAAGGAGAGTATCAGAACCACCAGCAGAAACATATTATAATTTCAAAGTACTTTGCTTGGTGCAGCGTTTTCTCAATTCATTGACTTCTGAATTTCTATTGCATTAATAATCTGTGTCCCACACATCAGCACTTAATTCCATCTTTTAAGATTGCTATTATTTCACCTGTTGTTGCTTTTTCTCCTCCAAGAGAGTGTAAGCGTGTCCAGGGCAGGACCCTGTGTCCCACCCCCTCTCCCCAGCCCACGCCGCGTTGTTGCACTGAGCACGTTAGGTGTGCAATAAACGATCCCACAAATAACAAGGCTGTGCAGGGAATGCATTTTGAAAAAGGCTGTGTTGGATTGGCTTACAAGTGATGCTATTTGGAGCAGGCAGTTTGGGTCATGAGGCCTTTGCGGCTCTACTGGTGCCCAGCTTTTGTGACCTTGCAAGACATCTGCTGAGATTCCAGCAGGGTCACAGCTAAGCCTGTGGGCATCAAGAACCTTGAGTCTCAGGAGCCAAGGCCTCCGTGTCCTGCCAGCCTGCTCAGGTCAGCCACACTTGGCTGCCTCTTTCCACCCTGGCCTGCTCGTTCTCATTTCCAGGCGGCATCCTCGAGAGCTGGCTTCCCCCAGATTCCTTCCTGATGCTCTGCCAACATCTGGGTGGCTGTCGTGGCTCCACTGCCAGCCTGGCCGGGCAGAGTCGGGGCAGGGCGGGGCATGATGGCTCATGTGGGAGGTGAGTACCTTCTGCTACCTTGGCTCCTGGAGGAGAACGTGCAGGCCTGTCTGCTGGTGAGTGCGAAACTCCTCAGGGTGCTGTGCAGTCCTCTCTGAGGCTCACCTGTGGCTTTGCTGGAGGGCAGTGGGGACGACGTGGGCGGGAGAGCACCTTTGGCTTTGGTAGAAGTGCAGCTGGCATCCTTTGCTCTCATCCCCTGCTCAGGCAGGCTGCTAGAAGGCCATCGGAGCTCGGGAGAAATCTGTCTTCACCTCCAGCTACAGAGGCCGGAGGAGAGGGCTGCTCTCCAGGGCCCGTGCGCTGGAGAAGAGCATTAGTGTAGATGGGTTTCTTTTATTTGCACTGCATCACAGAGGCTATTTGAACAGTGCCCATTTAGGACTGAAACAGTGCTGCTTTATGGTTATATCCAAGGAAAATACGCACCCTGATAGATGTAGGTGTCTAATCCACCCATCGGGCTAGAGCTTAGAAAAATATTTACCTTTTAACATCTGTGCTGCGTTTTCCACTGCGCAAACACACATCTGCTTGATGGAATGTCTGCAGAGTTTAGATGGGTTTAAAGCAAGTTTTCTTAGTAACCATATAGCTCTGTCTTGACACGGGCAGTCCTGGATTTGTGGTTGGGAGGTTTTTCTCAGATCAGCTCATTGTTTGAAACAAATAGCTCTCGAGTTTATAAAAGGAAGAGCTGGAGGCAATCCCAGTAATTGGATCTTTAATAAACCCCTCACCTCTTAGTAAGCCATTCGGTGCAACAGTTTTAGAATTTTCAGCCTGATTCCACAGCCTGTGGGTTTCGGGCTGGGGGAGGGGTGGGGTGTGTGACAAAACTGTCATCAGGAAGCCCTTCAGAGCGATACTGAGGTTTGAAAATGCGGCTTTCCTCACCCCTCCTTCCCCGGGCTTCATCCTCATTCTGGAGACTCAGGAACCTGATGAGAATATTCTGTCCTTTTAGGCGGAGCTGGGCCAGTGATATCAGCGAGCTGATTCTTCCCACACCTCCAAGGGCGTCAAGTGGAGTTCACCATGGTGCGGGCCAAGGGGCTGTGAGCTTCTATACACCGTCCCCTGCCCCCTGAACCAGACTCCTTTGCCTCACAGGCTCCAGAGGGGGAAGCCAGGCAGATGAGGCCGCTGGTGCATCCAGGCATTAATTAACCCCCCATCTCTTTCTGGGCCAATGGCGCAGCAAGGGACCTCACGTCCTCCCTTGTTAAGCCCTGTGAACCCATCTTTGAGCAACTCTTTTAAAGCTTGCACAAGTCAATTCCAGAGAAGACATGTTAGCCCTGTTTTTTTTTCCCTCTTGAAGCGATGTTCTTTTTTTTTTTTTTTAATTTTTTTTTTTTCAACGTTTATTTATTTTTGGGACAGAGAGAGACAGAGCATGAACGGGGGAGGGGCAGAGAGAGAGGGAGACACAGAATCGGAAACAGGCTCCAGGCTCCGAGCCATCAGCCCAGAGCCCGATGCGGGGCTCGAACTCACAGACTGCGAGATCGTGACCTGGCTGAAGTCGGACACTTAACCGACTGCGCCACCCAGGCGCCCCTGGAAGCGATGTTCTTGAATGCAACGAGGCCCTTAAAGAATAGTGTTATACATGCATGAATGCATCCAACAGTGACGTTATTTTCCAAACACTGAAAAGTCCAATTTCTATTCTCAGCCAAGTTCAAACAACAAATATTTACTGGATTCCTACTATGCACCAAGCATGGTGCAAGTCTAAGGAGGAAAGAAGTCTCTGGGTCTCAGCTGAAGCGTGAGAGGGCCCTCAGCCCTAGATTTTGCAGCAACATCCTCCATGCTGAAAGTCAAGGTGGGATTAATTGAGAGCTGCCTAAACTCCCCTCTACTGGTAGTGCTGTTCACTCTACAACTCCGTCTTGCCGGTTTTCAGTATACACAATATGCCGATGAAAAGTACATGTGAAAATTTACCTGGAAAATTCTTTGGGGCTGCTATTGCCTGTGCTTGAAATAGAGAGGCCATGAGTTTTGGGGGGTACCCATGGCAGAGCATGGACAATTTGATCTGGGTTTCTCTCCACCATCCTTCCCCCTCCCCTTTCTCTTTCTTGTTCGCCCCCTCCTCACCCCTTCTCGTTTCCTTCCAGTGCCCTGGAAGGCTCTAAGTGGTAGGCCACTGAAGGCCAGCATAGTGTGGTGTGTGGGGTGGGTAGGGAAGAGACAGAAGAAACAGAACTGTACCAAATTAGGCCCCATTCCATTTCAACGACAGGCCCTAGTAAGATACGTTACCTCTTCTGCTGCTTGCTGGTCCCGCAAGGCAATCACATTCCTAATGAGTTTGTTAAAAAAGCCATTCAGTTCATCTCGGTTCTTATTGGGCAAAATCCGGGCCAGTGGGACCATTATGGATGGAAATGATACTTGAAAGAAAAAAAACAAAAGCGGCACTGAAAACGGGGCGGCAATAACCCCAGGGCTATTAGATGCCTGTTGCTAGGGAAGCAAACCCTGGCCTTGACTTAGTCATTGGAAGCCGGGGCTCCCCTCTGGATCTGCACTCTTTCGCGGCAGGGTTTGGACCTCATTTCACTTCCCGACTCCTCACGTTCCTTGCACATTGTAAGCACTCGGTAAATGTCTGCACAGTTGAATCCCCACTTCCATCTGGCTCCCAAGAATTCAGTCTCATAGAAATTAATTTTCCAGGTCCTAGATCTGAGGGTTCAAGGTCTTTGTACTTCATCAAGAAAGGACAGGTTATAGGCCATGTTTTAAATCTTAGCAAGTGGTGGAAGCTGATCTACTTTCTTAACTTTCCGGTCATTTGCATTTTCCCCCCCACTTTCTTAACTTTCTGGTTATTTGCATAATTGTCCCCAGAGCTCCACCTGAATGGTCTCTAAGAGCTGCTGCCCAGGGGCAGCTGGTGGCAAGAATGCTGGCCCCTTGGGTATCTCCCCTGCTGTGCCAGGCAGGAAGCCTGTGCCTTTGCTGCCATGGCCTTGGGACAGAGCCATCTGAGGACACTTATCCCCTCCTAGAGGGTGGCTTAGGCTGAGGAGCTGAGCCGTGGCAGTGTGGTTCAGGTCAGTTCAGCTTCCCAGCATCGACAGTGGGCTCACTGCGTGCAGGCACTGTGCGGGAGCCAGGATGGAGAGGGTAGTTCTGGACCCCAGCAGATCTCAGAGCACTCTGCCCATTTTCAAGAGCCAGAGTCTGAACTCTGTGGGATAGCAGGGAGGTGGGTTCAGAGAGGAGTAGTAGCAGGGCTGGGACAATGGGGCCATCGCCCCCACCCCGGGTATGTCCATGGTCAACGGCAAGTGGAGCTGAGTCAGCGGAGTAGTTCCCAGGGGGCCGAGGGGGCAAGGGGCAAAGGGACTGCTTTGACCCCTCAGCAACTCCTCCTATAATTTCATTGCGGGTCTGATGGAGGCGACTTGGACTTCCACAGAAATGGACTCAGAAATGGGAGTGAAACTGACCAAGGAATGAATACAATTTAGCAGCCCGGCAGAAAGGTTAGAAGTTAGGGCAATAATCAATAACAACAATAGCCACACTTCAATACTTCCATAAAAGCAAGAAGACGCTGGAATTGGCCAGAGGGTAAAAACTCACTTCTAAAATAAAAATAAAATAAATCGACCAGTCTCCACAGCATTAGGTAACCTGCTAGTCACCCTTCGTGTATGATTTCTAGTTTACTGTGCTTTGGGCTTCAAGCAGAGAAGCCTTCCAAAGGGGATTTTGCTGGAGGGGAGAAATATGTCCTAGAAAATGAAGGCTTTGGGCTCCAGTCTAGGCTCTGGCTTTCTAAGCCTCAATTTTCTCGTCTGTGAAGTGGGTGAGAATACTTCTCTCCTAGTGAACACAGCACTAACAGGCAGTGCAAGCAAAGCACTTAGCGCTGGTCACGGCTGCTGTTGCTGCTGTGGCGGTGGTGAGGGGGGGGGCACTTCCTAGCTTGGTGATGGGTAGTCCTGAGTGGTGACAAGAGGAGCCTGGGTGGCCCTGGGAACATAAGGCCTCTGCAGAGTGGACTCCGTAGGGTGACTCTCAGAGGCACCTGGACTTGTGGCGAGAGATGCCTGGGCCACCCAGCCGTCACGGGGACTGGCCAGCTTGCTGGACCCCTGCCTTGCTGCCCTGGACGGGAGCTGTACTTACAGATTAAAACCAGGATCGGCCTGGGGATGGAGTACGCAAAGAAACGCCTGCAGTGCTTCACAAAGGGGTCCTCAGGAGCCCCCCGGGAGTCCACCTGGGTGCCAAAGGCGACACTGGCAACCACATCTGTAGTGTAGCAGCTGTAGCACCTGCAGGACAGGAGACCATTTGGATTTGGAAAGGACCCTGCCGTCGGCCTGCCCATCACACACGCTACTAAAGAGGCACCACTTCATCGTCTACCTGCTCGAGCTCAAAGGAGGTGGTCAGAGGGGAGCCCCTGGAATGGGGTCCTTTGAGCGTGGCAACAGAATTTGGGAGGAGACACCAAAACGTATCTGATCACTGATGCAAACACAGACTGGGGAGGGGAGGAGAGCATCACTTCCTCACCTTGCAAGCTTCAGGCAGCCTTAATCAGCCGCAGTCAGATTCCAAGAAATATGCTCCAACCCATCCTCCCCAGGGTGGAGGGAAAACAGTGGACCCAAAGCTCATAAGCATTACCCCAAAGCTGTGCAGCGTTGGTCCAAAGCCAGGATCGAGTGGTTAATTGATAAATAGCAAGTTGGGATTGATGAATTAACAACCTGGTTGTCTAGTTTTATTAGCTCTGTTTCCCCCTCTTCCTCCCAATGATTTTACAGTTTTTGTAAGAGTTACAAACAAAAAACAAGGGCACTTCAACACTCAAATAAATTCAAGACAAACTTTGGGACCAGCTTCATGAACATATGTATATTATTACAGAAAACACACGTTGCACTTTAGAAACAAACAGAAGGAAAAGTGTCTGGCAATCGCTCCGGAAAAATTAACCTCTTAGGCTCTAAGAAACCTGCCCTTAAATGGCCGTTTTAAACCAGAATGATCCTTTTTTGTTATCTTAGAGGAGCGGTCAGGTTAAGTTATTTCTAAAAAAGGCTACCAACGGCGTATGCATATCCTTTTATAATTAAAAGTTCTTATTTTTGTGGCTTGACTTAGGCACATATGTAGTTCCTTTTTTCTCCTAACCAACAGCTTATCATTAAGGGATAAATGACATCTCCAGATGACTTCTTTTATTTTGACTGCTTTATTGAAAACATTTCTACAATTGATTACACATGTCCCCACTATAGCAAAAGCAGTTTGCCTACTGAATGTGATTTCATCTGATCCTAAAGGCTGAAGAGTTAAGAGGGTTTTTTTTTTTTTTGGAAGAGTTAAGGATTTTTAAGTTATTTACTTTGCTTTTGTAACCATTCAGCCCATCTTATCTTTAGCCAACTCATGCATCTCATGACCAGAGAGAAAGTGTATGAGAGGATTTTGTAAACACAATGGCAGAATTTAAATGCTGATGATAATTGTGTTATTATTTTATTAGCAGTGATAATAAGAACGAGCCAGCTTCTGGCTGATCTGCGTCTCTCGCCCTACTCTGTAAGCCATAACTTAGCAGAGGACAACTGGAGGGAAAGCCAAATAATTAGTCGTTTAAATTTGGTGTTCACCGCTAAGTCATGGCTTCCAGGCTGAGGTGCACCACAATTTTTCTTGAAGTAAAAATGCACAGACTTCCCCCCCCCCCCATCCCCCGGGGACCCTGTCCTTCCTGCCCACTCCTGGGTCTGCAGAGGTCGGAGGGCGTGTCCAACCACACACCGCTGCCCACTCAAGGCTTCCCTCCACACGCCACACTTACCCTAGCCTTTGTTCATATTCTTTTCACATTTTACGGGGGTTTCCTTTTTTATTATTCAGTCCACCCATGCTTTTATGAGCCTCTAGCATTTCCATAGTTTGCTGGTCCCGAGGTAATTGTCCAGCAATTATGTACCGTTACAAGAAGCAGCAATTCAGAAGTGCAATTTCTCATCTGTCATGTAGCCATGTAGCACCCTTACCTCTGGATGTCGAAAGCATCCCCGGATTCCGCATAGCCTTTTAAGTGAGCCAGGAGCATGTCACAGGCTTGGCTGATTAGGGGAGTCATCTGATAGCAGATAACAAAGGTGTAATTAGGACACGATGCAGAGAGCACACCTAAAGTAGCTGCAGATACAGAGGTTATGTGTGGTCCTTCCTGGGAAAATGGACAAGGCAAACTTCCTGCAGCCGAGATTCAAGAGGAAGTTTTGAAATTCACAAATATCATAACATACAATAGCCATAAATGTCTACGTTAGCTTAAGCAATCTGTTCTTTTGGAAGCAAAAAGAAGAAAGGATGTAGAGTAAATACTGTGAAATAATTACAAAAATGATCATTAAGTGCTTAGACAGAAATGAGAATCACTACTCGGTTGCATGACATTTGGTTAGCATTAGAGAGTAAATAGACCACAATCCATATGTACTCTCTCTGGAATTAGCCCAAATCCATGTTTGCTTGGTTCCAATTATACTTTAGATCTTCTACTAGAGTATAGAATCTTAGTCTCCAAAGGAACGTGAGGTCGTCCATTTCAACTGCTTATTCAATACGAAAATCATTTTTAGAGCATTTCTGTTGGATGGCTATTCATCTCTGCTTCAGCTGCTTAAAACTTTTGAGTATGTATAAGGGAACCTTGACATCAAGAGGCCTTCCATGCCCACCCAGGAAAACTCCTGAGTTTCTTTTCTTTTCTTTTTTTTAATTTTTAATGTTTTATTATTTATTTTTGAGAGAGAGAGATAGAGTGTGAGCGGGGACAGGGAGTAGCAGAGAGAGAGAGAGAGAGAGAGACATGGAATCTGAAGCAGTTCCAGACTCGCGAGCTGTCAGCACAGAGCCCAACGCAGGCCTCCAACCCATGAACCGTGAAATCATGACCTGAGCCCAAGTTGGACACTTAACCGACTGAGCCACACAGGCGCCCCCCCCCTTTTTTAATATTAAAATATTTTCATTTTGGAATCCGTCTAACATATGCCCAGAAAGATACAGAGAATGGTGTTGCGAACATTTGTGTAATTATTATCCAGCAAGTTTGGATCTCACTTCTGGCCGCCACCACGTTGACCCCAGCCGTCTGGCTCAAGTGGATGGAATTCTTTGTGGAGCTAACGGGCAGCCACATGACCTTCTGTTTTCTCCCTCATGTTTGCAAAGCCAGGTCGGAAACATCAAGGGGAATCCTTCCAGCCAGTGCCCGTTCTAGAACAACATCGTAGCTAAAGCAGCCCGCCCTAATACCTCGTTCTGACCATTTCTTATGGAAAACATTTTTGAAATGTTAAATATGTTTAGATTTTACTATTTTGACACTAGAATATAACTTCTCGTGGAGGCCAGGGGAGGTTTTTGTCTTTTTGTTCATTTTTATGGCCCCAGAACCTACAACAGGGCCTTAGCCCGTGGTAATTCTTTGTTGAACGAGTGAAGGAGTTGGAATGATTATGTAAGCCTCAGTCTTTGCTCTTAAAGTCTCGAGGATTTGGGGAAAGTAACAAAATGTTAATCTACTTGTTAGAATATATGTTGTTCTGAGGCAAAATCTGCCCCCTTTAACAACCTCGCACCGCTTTCATTGCCTTCTTCCTCTTGGTAGTGCTTCCAATACTCAGATGGCAGGTGCTGCTTCTCCTCACAGACCAGACAGTTCTTCCCCATCCCTTCAGCACCCCTCGTACACATGGTCTACACACACTTCTCCAATCTCATTGCGCGGGCTCTCTCTCTCTCTCTCTCCCTGCCTCCCTCAGTCATCAGTGTCACTCTTGAAAGGCAGCTCCATAAATGGAGCACGGTATTTCAGGTAAGATCCCCTATTAAATCTCTGGGGCGCCTGGGTGGCTCAGTCGGTTAAGCGTCTGACTTCAGCTCAGGTCATGATCTCGCAGTTCGTGAGTTCGAGCCCTGTGTTGGCCTCTGTGCTGACAGCTCAGAGCCTGGAGCCTGCTTTGGATTCTGTGTCTGCCTCTGTCTCTCTGCCCCTCCCCCCTCTCAAAAATAAGTAAACATTAAAAAAAAATTATAAAAAAAATCATAAATGGATCACTCCCCTGCCTGCCAATCACAAGCCAGGTGTGTGTTGACTTTTTTAGAAGACACATATGACAGGCAAACATTGAGGTTCCAGTCAACAAAAACCACAAGGTTTTTGATCACCATGAATCATCACCATAGGCAATTGATTTTTTGACACTTTAGGCTCCATTCATTAGAAGCGAATTTACATTTACATTACATTTATTGCCTTGAAAAGTTGTCCTGCTGTGTGTTCTGAGCAGAACAAGCTCTTAACTCCCCCTCAAACATTCAGGTGATTGGAGAAGCCCCGGCACAGTGGGACAGCCTGAGTGGCTGGTTGGAGGGACATCGGCTTTGTTGGACCCCGCCTTCCCATAGCTCTGCAAGCAACCCCACGGTCCTTACCCCTCTGGAGGGTAAGGAAAGAACTGTAGCTACAGGATCTCTGGCAGAGTCCATCCTGAGAAGCAGAAGGACATTCCCAGTGAGTAAGAGTGAGCTGTAGTCTAAGCTCAGGGCTGCGTCAGTTCCCAGAACCAGGGACAGTGGCCTGGGCAGCCACATGGCAGGTCAAGGAGCAGACGCTCAGCGAGGAACATACACACACAGTGAAGAGATGGCAGAGCATCCGAGATCCCCCCTTGTTGCCAAGACTCCTGGAAGAAGCCTCTGGAGAGGAAAATCCTGGGGAAAAGGACTTTTAGCTCATGGAGCTTCAAGTGCTTAGAGCCCTGGAGTGTTTGTACCCGGTGTGGGTGGGCCAAGGATGTGCTCACGCATTCAGATCTCCTCTCCTGTAACACTGCCTAGTCCTTTTGGTTCCACGTGAAACTTGAAAAGTGTGCCTTCTAAGCCTCCATTCAGTTTGTCACTGGTATACAGGATCAAACACGGAGCCGCGTGGCCGCCCACCACACTGCTACTTTACGTAGCTGTAGCTACGTAACTACGTATGTAGCTACGTAGCTACGTACGATGACGTAGAATCGGTCAGTCATCACCGTTTCTGGCCCCTCAGCCAGCTGTGCATGAGCCTAAGTGAATATTCAGCCAGGCAGCAATTACCAGTCAGTTGGCTGTCAAATGATGTGCCCAAATAGAAATGTAATTGACCTCACATGCCTGTACTGAAGTCCGCTCAAAACAGGGATGAGGATGGCTATCCCGACTGATTCTTGATAACTGGGTGGGCTCTCTATGCCAACTGCGTTCTTTTCTAAATGCTCACAAACTGTCCACTTAATAATCCATCAGTACAAAAGTGCATGTAAATGGGTCACTTTTTAAAAAAATGTTTATTTTATTTATTTTGAGAGAGAGCAAGGGAGGGGCAGAGAGTGAGGGAGAGAGAGAGTCCCGAGCAGGCTCCATGCTGTCAGCACAGAGCCCAACATCAGGTTCAGTCTCACAAATCGTGAGAGCATGATCGGAGCCAAAATCAAGAGTCGGAGCCTTAACTGACTGAGCCACCCAGGTGCCCCTAAACGGGTCATTTTTAATGGCCTCTGGGCCATCATTCTCAAAAATTCTTAGACTACCTTTGTGTTCGGAGAGCTCTGTACTCTCTCAGCCACCTTTCTATGACTGGCTTCACTGGCTACATTCTTCCATTATTTTAATGAACTTGGTGGTACAAGTGAACTCTATTTTAATAAAATCCCATATACCAAAATGTCTCTTAGATTTGTTTTAGAGGAATAAGAACATGGTAAAAAGAAAAATACTGTTTGAAAGGAAGTCCTTTTAGATATCAAGCTTCCAGCTTCCTTAATGTAACAAAAATGGTATGCGACATAAAATACGGTTTCCACTTAACTCTTCAGAAGTGTGCCCTGTGTATAAAGAGGGGTCCATCCATACTGAATCCCGTTGTATGCTGGACAGTGCAAAGGGGGGCTGTCCCCACTGCCCACCATCGGTTCCTCTACGTGCTTGTAACTAGAATGCTTTGCGGCTGACTGGCATGATTGTAATTTTCTACCATGCTCTGCCTGCTTTTTTTTGCACTGAATGGATAATGACACTTTTATTTGGGTTAATGTGATATGAGATGGGGCATGTAATATGAAAAATGTTCTAAAAAAGCAATGCAGAGAAAATATTATAAGACAGTAGAGCATGATCTGTATGTTGGCCAATAGCCATCATTTCAGACTTTTCTTCCTTGCATTATACACAAGTAGTTATGGAATATTCACTCTTACACGAGTTGCATACAAACAAAAGCTCTCTTTGATGGGCTTGCAGTCGTCTTTATACCATCCACAAGCCCAGCAGTTATTCCCGTAGATTTGCAGACAGGCAGGCATAGGTGGCTTGTGCAAACACACACGCACAGATGAACACACAATGCTATCGTCAGATCTTAATAAAAGATTCTCATTGGATCGTTACATTTCATCTTGGTAGGATAATGAGAAATTTTTATTTTTGTTTTTTCCCCCACATTTTTCACAATGCACATATGTTATACTTACCATCAGATAAAATATTAACGTTATTAGGTTTGAAAAGAAGGATTTCTTTTTGGGGATGACAGTCTAGCAGCCATGCCCCCTGGGGGAAAGTTCCCTGTTTTCCTTCTCTCACCTCTCACATTGGTTGTCTTTATTCTAGAAGATGCTGAGTGTATGGCTGGTCAGCTGTTTGGTAACTAGCAGTCACCATCAAGTGTAAAGTATCATCCTCAGCCTGGGAAAGAAATTGTTCAAGGAAGAAGTCCTTGCTCACCTGGGGTTGACTGTATGGTTAAATCATCCAGTTAAAAAAATGGATATATATATATATATCCATTTTTGGATATATATGTATATATGTATATATATAT